TGTCAGAGCCACATAACCAAAATGTCACTATATTTACTTTTGATGGCATTACCAGCAACGTGTGCTTTTTAAGCAATTTTGGAAATGTGATGCAGTATAGAAATATAAATACATATGTATATATTACATATGTTTTAAAACATGGGTTACCCTGAGTCAATGATTTACTGCTGCTGAAGGAATGATTTCTGTGTGATGGAAATGGTTAGTTTTTCATTAAATATTCCCATCAGAGATTAGTATACTTTTTTCTCCTCTAAATTCTGGAGTTCTCTTTTAAAAAATACGTGTATCCAGATAGCCTCCAGTGATATAAGTGTTGACATTTTTTTGTTATGGTTTTATTGTTATTGCTAATGAATTATTTTTCAAGCAAATATGTACTTATGAAGTTGAAAGATGATATTCTTCCTTAAAAGCATTTTACCATTTTCATATTGTTATGCCCTTAGCTGTTAGGGTGTTTTCTTGAGTCATTATTTTCTTTTGTTGATTTTTTAAAATGTTGTAGCAATGGCAAGTGTAAATTCATGTTATGAAAAATGTGGGTGATGGAATATGATTAGACATACTTCAAGAGGGCAGTCTATGTGAAAAATTGGTGCTCTAAAGCATTTACTACCAAAATTGGTTCCTTTTGTGTTGCCCTTACTCCTCTCCTCGGGTCCACTTAATGGTTCTGTATTATTTTGGAGAGTTGAATGTGACGTGAAGAAGGTAGTGGGGGAGAGGGAGGAGGACGATGTGAAATGAGCCTGCTGCTTTCTCAGAAGCCTCTCATTGGCAGGCCTGAAATGACTGCTGTTGGGAGAAGTGACATTCACGCTGCTAGGGATAGAATTGCCTGACCGTTCCGGGGCACTTTTGTTTTCATGATATAACTTCTTTGTACAAACAAAGGATGTGCTAAAAGAGAGGACTCTTTGCAATTGAGTGTTTTCCATTCTGGTACCATTTGACTAATGATAATTTCAGAAATCCCTAGCATTGCATGTAATCATTGTTTAGTAGATGGATCTTTTTATCTCAACAATAGCATTGTACATTTCATTTCTGTTTTAAGTCCCACTCGTGTTTTTTAAGTGGTATAATAAATTATTTTCTTGCCTGCAGGGTAACTGAGTGAAAAAAATTTGTATGTTTTGGTCACTAGCCTAATTCTGTGACCTGCATAAATGGATGCGATGGCTTTTACTTTGGATGAATTTCAGGTGACTTTTGTTTGCCTGAAATTCTGTTAGTATGATTTATTCAGGGTAGTCATTCAACATCACCTAATCTGTCTGCTTCATGTTTCATGAATCAAATCCCTGGGTAGAGCAGTCATTGGATATTGGACGAACTTTGGGCTGTGTGTACCTACCATTTTTATAAGTGATTAGAAGGAAGGCCCTCTTGTGACTGCTGGACCAGTAGTGATGTTGTATTATGATTCTTCTTTTTTGTTTTTTTCTTTTCTTTTTCACATCTGCTGCATAAAAAAACTACACCAAAACTTGGTATATTAAAACAACTATTTTATTTTGCTCAGGACTTTGTGGGTTAGGAATTCAAAAAAGGATTAGCTAGGTAGTTTGTCTCTGATGCACATGGTGTCAGCTAAGGCATGTGGAGCTGGAGGATCCACTTCTGAGGTGGTTTCTTCACTCAGATATCTGGCACCTGAACCGGGTGGCTGAAAGTTCATGCTGACTCTGGGCTGCGGGCTGGTTGGGGGCTAGCTGGGAGCTAGCTGGGTCTGTTGACCTCAGCACTGACACATGGTCTCTCTGTGTGGCTTAGGTTTCTCAAGGCATGGGCACTGGGTTTCCTGAAAGGTATGGGTGCAAGCTTCAAGGCTCAAGGCCTCTTATGTCATAGCCTTATAAGTCCTAGGACACCAGTTCTCCCAAATGTTATTGGTTAAGTAAGTCATGAAGACCAACCAAGACTCAAGGAGGGGCAGAATTATCCTCCACCTTTCATTGGGTGAAAAAGCAAAGAGTTTGAGGCCATCATTAATGGCTGGTAATGGGATCACATCAGAATAGCATTTATTTAATAAGAGTGTATGCATCTCCTGAGGTTCTGGTGGCTTAAAAGTACAATTACTAATAAGTGGTTCCATGTAAAAGGATCCCATTCCAAGTGGCACAGCCTTTGTTTAAATAAAAACTCTTATGTAATTCATCCTAGTCTTTTGATGGATGGAAACTCTACAAGTGGCATGACTATAATCTCAAAATGTCTAGAAAGATGTCAGTCTTCTGAGTCATTCTGCAAACTAGTATGTAAGAGAGTTCAAAGGAATCATAGATCTTACAGCTAGAAAGGACTCTAAGAGATTACATCATCATTATCACCTTACAAAAAGATTTATTGAACATCTCTTAGGTGCCAGGCCCTGGGAATACAGAGGAGCATATAACTGATTCTTGCCCTTGAGACATAGTTGAAGGAAATAGAACTGATGCATCGGAGATGAGTAGAAACCCATGGAACACAGACTGACTGGCAAATAAAAGCACAGACAGTAAAAGCACAAGAAGGAGAAGCGATCAGTAGAGGCTGTTGGGGCTTGGTTAGGGGCTTGGAAGGGCTTTAAGGAGATAGACTTTTTATTACACTGAAAACATAAAATCCAAAATGCTGGCCATTACCTACAAGTCCCTCTGGGATCTGGATCCCTGCTTCCTCTCTGATTCCCTTCTCTACCTCTTCTTTCCTCACTCACTGGCTTTCTTCCTTGAATACACAGACATTTCAGGATCTTTGCATTTGCTTGTTCCTCTTCCTGGAATGCTCTTTCCCCAGATGTTCCCATGGTTTGGTGTCTCACATCCATTGGATCTCTGGTCAGCTGTGCCCTCCTCTGGCTTCTTTGACCTCCTCCTCTCTTTCAACACTGTTTATCTCCATGTAGGTGGGGGCATTCTCTGCCTTGTTCATTGTTGTATTCTCAGCACCCAGAACAGTGCCTGGCATGTAGCTGGTGCCCATTAAAATATGGTCAAATGTGTGAATGAATAGGTGCAGAACCTTGAAACAGAGTGTCCATTCAGTTGCTATAACAAAATATCATAAACTGGTTATCTTATAAATAATAGAAATTTATTTTCCACAGTTCTAGAGGCTGAGAAGTTTAAGAGCAAGGCACTAGGAGATTAGGTGTCTGGTGAGGGCCTATTTCCTGGTTCATAAATTGCACCTTCTTGCTGTGTCTTCACATGGCAGAAAGGTCAAGGCAGCCCTATAGGGCTTCTTTTATAAGGGCACCAATCCTAATCATGAGGGTTCTGCCCTCATGACCTACTCACCTCCCAAAGTCCCTGCCACCTAATATCCGTCACATTGGTGATTAGGTTTCAACATATGAAATTTAGGAGTATATAAACATTCAGACCATAGCACAGGGGTAGGATTTAGCAAAGTGGAAAACAGATGATATTGCTAAATGCCTGAAAGGTAGAGTGAAAGAGAAGCAAATAGTTATGTGATATATTCATAGATCATCTACTTCAACTCCCTGGCATCAGAGATCATCATTTTACAACCGTGAGTTCTTCAAACCACACTGTGTGTGATAAGCACTATAGTGGGGCTTGCATAGAAATTGATTCATTTTAACTAGAATGCTGGGTCATGACTGGTGGCAATTATTGGAGAACTTGCCATTCTTGAAAAATCTTCTGTATTATACCATTTCTTTGTCTTTGCCCTTGTTCATATGTCTATTTGGAATATCCTGCTTTTTGTCTTAATCTGTGGAAATTCCATTGAATGTTCCAAAACTTAGTGACTTAAAACAACAATTTATTATTTCTCACAATTTTGTGTGTTGGCTGGGTTCAGCTGAATGGTTCTTCTGTTCCATGTGGTATCAGCTAGCATCACTAATAGAGCAAATGTTTTTAGTTTCAGAGCTTGGCTGGGACTAGAACATCCAAGAAAGCTTCACTTTCTATTCTTCTGTTGGTTGTAGTGCCTTTGTTCTCTTCCATAATGCCTCATTTCCTCTAGTATCTAGACCAGCCTCCCTATAGCATGCTGGCTGGGTTTCAAGTGTGAGAAAATGGAAGCTGCCACTTCTCTTGAAGCCTAGACCTGGAACTGGCACAGCGTCACTTTCACCACATTTTATTAGTCAGTCAAAAGACAGCCCAAATTCAAAGGGAGGGTAAGCAAACACCACTTCTTGATGGGGTAGGCAGCATGCACATATAGGGATGAGAGGAATGATTAGTGATGATAGTTGCAGACAGTCTATCTCAGCATGCTTAGATATTCATTAGTATTATCTTTTCAATGAGAAGTAGATATTATTATTAGTAAAGTCCCAAGCCTTTGAGTATTATTTGAACCCTTTGGTTTTGAATTATTAATTGTTTATAGAGAAAACTGCTGTGAACATTTTGGGCTTAATCGAGTGGCAGCTAAAGATGATTGTACAGCCCTTGTTTTGACTGTACTAACCTTGTTTTCTGCTTTGCCATTTATGTTGTGTTATATACATTACTCTGGGTTTAGTACAGGTTGAAATCAGAAGCCAAAGGAATCTGAAGGGGGTAGTCTTGGACTCTTCTCTGTCCTCACCATAACCTGGAGCAAGTGGCTACATTTGCAGGACAAGCAAACACAGAAAATAAGCACAAAGGAAAGGCCAAGAAGCAAAAAGGAAACACGCCCTTTGCTCTGGGCTGATATTAGAATGTTAACAGATGGCAGAAGGAAGCTTGAATTCTCAACTGCTGTTTGGCTTCCCTCCTCTCTGTCCTAACCGGTTTCTTTGATTCCATTCTTGCCTCTCACAATTCATTTCCCACATAGCAAGCAGAGGGATCTTTTAAAAATGTAAATCAGATCATGCCACTCCTCAGCTAAAAATACCCCAGGGAGTTTCCATTGTACTTGTAATAAAATCTAAACTCCTTATCATAAATTAGTTCCCACTCCTGCCCCTTTAACTATCCCCTCCCTCTTTATGTTTCAGCCACATTTTCTTTCTTTCTTTCTCTTCCTAGAGCCCTCTAGGTTCATCCTGCCAAGTTCATCCAATCTTAGGGGCTTTGTACTTGTTGTTTCCTCTTTCTGGAACACTCTGCCCCTAGATCTTTATGTGTCTGGCTCTTCATTCAAGCCCCAGCCCAGATGACCTCAGAGAGACCTTTTGTGACCTCCCAGACTCTAGAGGTACTCTCTCTGTCTCAGAGTTTCTCTGTTCTGTTCTTTCTAGCACTGAACTGTTCTTTCTCAGTTGTCCCATGTAGAAAGAGGGACTGATAAATAACAGCACATACTTCATAGAGTTGTTATGAGGATTAAATTAGTTAATATTTAGAAGGGTATCTGGTGCAGGCTATGCTCTCAAATGTCAGCTTTATTATTATATCACTCTCTACTACCTGTAATTGTTCTACTTAATTATACTATTAATAGTTTATTGTCTTCACCCATTGCTAGAGTATCAACTCTTTGCCAGCAAGGACGGCCTTTGCCTATCTTGTTCACATCTCACCTGTATTACCTGTGTGTTGTCATATATAGTAGGTCCTCAACAAGTACTTGTAAAATCAATAAGTGAAAGGCAGGAGTGGTCATACTGAACAGGCTATAAAAATAATTGGTGAGATGAAATTAAAGCTTAAGAAAGTTGAATGCATTATAAAAGATTGTTTAGTTCAAAATGGGTTTAGGATTTTTGATTCAGAAGAATTCTGTTCTAGGACATTGAAAGAGCTTGGGGATAATTTATTGTTAATTTTTATTTTTATGGAATTTTGAAGAGTGGGAAAATGTTAGAATTATGAAGACAGGTAAATGCAATTCTGATTTTCAGAAGTGAGGAATATGGGTTTAAAAACTGTAGACTAGGAGCTCTATGCTGCTTGTGGGAAGAATTCTAGAATGGATTTTCAAAAGGCTGGTTTGTGAATGCTTAGAAAGGTATTATTTAGTGGGAAAATGGGGCACCCTTAGAGAAAAGAGGCCTGGAGAAACTAATTGATTTTTTTTCCAGGTCACCACTGAGTTTTGAAGCAGAACCAAGATGAGAATAAAGACTTCCCAATTCCAGACCAGTATTCTTTCTGTTCCAATAGTGTTTTCAATCTGGGATCTTACAGCTTCTCAAAGTCAATGTAAAATAGAACCTTTTTTGTGTGTGTTTTTATTTTGGAGATAAGTAAAAGAAAAAAAAGTCACTTTTGAAACATTTCTCAGTTGGAGTACATTGACCCTTGAGAGTTGAAGGACATATTCTTTGCGGACCATGAGATTTAATTCTCCCTCCCATCACTTTAAAAGAGGTCTGTGCAGTACTCTAGATTCAGAAACTTGGCATCATGATATTTTGCCAATTTATCTGATTAATGGTGCCTTTTGTCTGTCTGCAGAAAACACCATGTGTTCTTCCATTAGACCCGTGCTGTCCAATATGGTAGCCTCTGGCCACATATGGCCATTGAGCAGTGAAAATGTGACTCCTTTAAATTGATATGTGCTAAAGTGTAATACAGTATAATATATTTTATGTAGCTTAATATATCAAAAATATTATTTCAATAGATACTCAAATTATGAGCTATCTATATTCTTTTTTCATATTAAGCCTTTGAAATCCAGTGTATATGTATATAGTCAGCCCTCCATGTCTACAGGTTCTGTACAGCTGATTCTATATCTATGGATTCAACCAATCTCAGATTGAAAATATTTTTATGCATAAATAACACAATAAAAAAAATTTAAAACAATACAGTATAACAACTGTTACACAGCATTTACATCATGTTAGGTATTATAAGTTGTCCAAAGGTGATTAAAATATATGGGAGGATGTGTGTAGGTTATATGAAAATACCATGCCATTTTATATGAAGGACTTAGCAGCTATGGATTTTAGTACCCACAGGAACCAATCTCCCATGGACACTGAGGGACAACTGTGCACATAAGCATACATAATCAAATACATTATTGCTATTATTATTTTGAACAAACTTTTATCGTTTAGATCAGTTAAGAATAAGAAAAAATAAACATTTTTATTTTAGTTCATTTATTCTTTCTTGAAGCTCTTTTTTATACGTAGATCTTAGTTCTGACCTAGTATTATTTTCCTTCCCTCTAAAGAACTTCTTTTAACACTTCTTGCAAGGCAGGTCTACTGCCAACAAATTCTCTTAATTTTTGTTTGTCTGAGAAAGTCTGTATTTCTTCTTGAATTTTGAAGGATATTTCACAGGGTACAGAATTCTAGGTCAGTGGGTTTTGGTTTTCTTTTCAACACTAAATATTTTTCTCCACTCTCTTCTTGCTTACATGATTTCTGAGAAGTTGGATATAATTTCTATCTGTGCTTCTCTGTAGCTAATTTGTTTTTGTTTTTTTTAGGAATTTTTCTTTACCATTGATTTTCCATGATAATGATATGCTTTGGTGTAGGGGGTCCCCCGCCCCCCTGGCATTTATTCTGCTTAATGTTCTCTAAGCTTCCTGGATTTGTGGCTTGGTGCCTGGAGTTAATTTGGGGAAATTCTTAGTATTGTTTCAAATATTTCTTCTGTTCCTCTCTTTTCCTCCATCTAATATTCCCATTATACACATGTTATACCTTTTGTAGTTGTCCCACAGTTCTTGGATATTTTGTGTTTTTCGAGCTTTGTTCTCTTTGCTTATTAACCTTGAAGGTTTCTATTGCTATATCCTCAAGCCAAGATATTCTTTCCCCGGCTGTGTCCAGTCTACTAGTAAGCCCACCAAAGGCATTCCTCGTTTTGTTACAGTGTTTTTGAGACTTAGCATTTTCTTTTTTTTCTTAGGATTTCCATCTCTCTGGTTATCTTGCCTATCTGTTCTTACATGCTGACTATGCATTAGAGCCCTTAGCAAGTTAATCATAATTGTTTTAAGTTCCCTTCTGATAATTCCGACATCTTTGTCATGTCATGCTTGCTCTGTTTCTTCAAACTGTGTTTTTTGCCTTTCAGTATGCCTTTTAATTTTTTTTTTTTTTTTTTTTTCTAGCTGGACATGAGTACTAGGTAAAAGGAACTGCTGTAAGTAGGTCTTACTACTAATGTAGTGAGAAGGTATGTGGAAGGGGGGGGGTTCTACAGTCCTATGCTTAGGTTTCAGTCCTTTAGTGAGCCTGTGCCTCTGGACTGTGAATTTCACAAGTATTTCTCAGGTTGTTTTTTTTCTCCTTAGGTGAGACAAGGTGATTAGAATGGGTTGGACTTACGTACTTCTCTTCTCCTATGTGGAAGGCTAGAGTGGGCTAGAGTTGGGTATTTCTCTTCCCCCAGGTCAGCTGGGCTCTGGTTAAATAGTTTCTCCTGAGTACAGGCCTTGTTAGGAAGAACCCATTGCTCTGGCATATTTCAAAATGGTTCCTTTCCCTCCGCCCGCTGCCAGAAGCACGAGGGTATTTTTCTCAGGGAGGTCTCTGCTCCAGTATGTTGTGATTCTCTAGACCTGCCTGTCAAGGTCTCTTCAATTTTGAGGGCAGCAGTTTGCCCTGAGATCTCACTTTTCTTCCGGATCTAAGAAGAGTTGTTGATTTTTCAGTTTGTTCAGCTTTTACTTGTTAAGACAGAGTGGTGACTTCTAAGCTCCTTACATACAGAACTGGAAACCAGAAGTCTTCTGACCTTTAACTTTTTGCCTTTGAAAAAATCAAATGGTTACTGTTTCTCTTTCAAGATGCTATTTGAAGATACTGTTATGCAAATAACACAATGGAGATCATTTTCATTTCCAATAAATGATTAGACACATTGGATATAGTTAGATATGCAGTTTCCTGTTTTCAAACTGTTCTGTTTTGAAGGAAAATAATTATTGCTTGATTAAAAAGGAAAGAAATCGAACCAGATGCCATACTGTCTTCAAAGACTCAAGGCATCTCACTCAATTTTGCCCCACTCTTACCACCCAGATCCCTTGTGAACTACTTTGGAAAACGCTGCTGGTAGCGGTGGTGTGATAGTATTTGTAAGAATATGGAAATTAAAAGTTGGAAATATATAAAAGATTCAAATTTTGCTGAAGAGCAGAATTTGACTTGCGGAGTCTTACAATTCAAAATTTGATGTGTACCTGGTAATGGAAATAATTTGATATATTAAACAATAAAGGCCCATTGTGGGTCGAGAAGCTGAGGACATTTATTTTGACCATTTAGTGTGCATAGATTTTGAATACGAAAGTAGCTGGGTGTAGAATGCTTCTCTGTCTCATTCACTGTTGGGCTTTATATCTACTTACCTCTCTTAATCCTCAAAAAACCCTTCGTGTGAGGTAGGTATTTCCCCCATTTTGCAGATAGGAAAGCTCAGAGAAGCTTTCCAAGGTCTCAAAAACTCATCCTTATCAGCTTATATCATGGGGCTGTTACTCAAACCCAGGTCTGACTTCAAGACCCATGATTCTCCTATGGAATTAATTTGAATGTTTGCAAAGTCTGCATCTCTGATTGTTTTTGTGGCGAATTAATGTCCGTGAACTGGTGAACAGTAAAATAGTTATTTAATGACTTTCTCAACTTTGTTAGGCCTATGTATTTGAGACCATGTATTTATTTGGGAAAAGAAAAGTATTTTTACATTTAACTACATATTTGAATTTTCTTATGTCTTGTCTTTTATATTGGAGAACCAAGCTTAACTAGTACTCTACTCAGAGGGGTACATCTTTATCAGGCAAAAATCTTACTGAGATAAATAAATACTGTGACAATCGAAGTATAAAGAACCATCATTTGTTATTGTTTCCTCATTCTTTTCTGCTGTGAATCTTAGCAGGTAGAATTCTGATTTTGGTAGCAGGAAAGAACAAATGACAACATTGTGAATTGTGGCATTTGAGATTAGACTGATAAACAAGACAGTGTACTCCGGCACATTAGTTAATAGAAGGGAATACAGCTGTTGTCAAAGACACAGGAAGGTCTATTGTAGCTGAAACAGTCTTCTTTGGCATTTGGCCATCTCAGTTTCATGATAACAAGAAGCAGGAACCTTGAAATCATTCTTTATATTCCATTCCTGGATAATTACCAACTATACTCAGATTTTGAAAGGTCCTTTTATTTTGTGATTGCCTCTTTCAGCAACAACTCTTATTATCCAGTTATACAATTTGCCTTATTTGTGATGCTCAGGTGGGAAAACTTTCAGCCTCCACAATTGAAAAGATCATCCTGATTGAGCATTTTGTGGGGCTTTTGCTTGTTTTGCTCTTGAGCAAGCAGAGTTCAAGACAGGTGAATTTTTTCCAGATGTACTTTTGAATAACTGGACAGATCCCTGCAGTCTCTTTAGTAATAACACAAATGGCCATGTATTCTTGGCCTCTTCCTCTGTGCATAGCTTCGTGTGATTACTCTGCTAAGGGCTCTGTAGTTGCAAGATGATTCCACAGTTAATACTGAGCCAATGAGGAGTAAATAGTTCATCCAAGCTGGGAATCTCTGAGCTTTGCTAGGGCTGCTTACTTGGGTACCAGAACCTGTCACTGTCCAGGAACGTACAGCAGTTCTGTTTTCATTTGCTTTGTTACCATTATAGGCATGAGATGGAACCATTTTTTTTTCCTGGAAAAGAATGTCCTTGTATAGCAATAAGTAATGACACTTTATGGGCTTTAAGAAATCTAGAGCCAGGCTGGTTAGCAACTGAAGCTGTCATGACTGAACTGGATGCTGGTAGCCTTCTTCTGAGGTTATATGAGCAGAGGTGGGTATAGGAAATGTGGTTCCTTGACCCAAGTGCTCAGTCCCCAGCTCAATGACAGGCAGGATAGCTGAGCCAGGAGGAGGGGCCAGCATGCCAAAGGGATTTGTTGCCATGTTCTGACATGGAAGAGAGGGTGTACTCAGCTCTGTATTAATGGCATTCATTAGGTCTGAAGGACTTCATGCAGCTTCTAGATGTGACTGCTCATTGCCATGCATGTTCAAGGGAGAGACTGGGATCCACCCCAAGAGTCAGCTGTTTAGGAAGTTTTTCCTGACAATTCTGTCTCCTTCTGGAGTTGGGCTTTGTGTTGTTCTCCTGTGCTTTCCTCTAACACAGAACTTGTGTGTGTTATTATATTCTACTAGTTTATCTCCCCTCTGGACTGTAAACTCTTGAAGACAGGGACGCTGTCTTATCACTCTTTGAATACTCACTGTCTGGTACATATTCTGTGCTCAGTAAATGTTAGTTAAATATATGAGATAGTGATGTTTGGCTCCTTTCCTCTGTGTGGCACTCCATCCCTTCCAAGGAAAAAATTATAACAGGTATCCACAATTGATAATCAGAACTAATGAAACACAGTAGCATAGACATGAGCAGAGTTGAAAATAATGAGTGATTATAAAGTATATAGGAATAAACTTAATAAAAATTGGGCAGGACCTTTATAAATAATACTTCCATGCTGGGTGTAGTGGCTCACCCCTATTAATCCTAGCACTTTGGGAGACTGAGGTAGGAGGATCACTTGAGGCCAGGAGTTTGAAATTACAGTGAGCAAAGATTGGGGCCGTTGCACTCTAGCCCCAGGCAACAAAGCAAGAAACTGTCTTAAAAAAAATAAATTAATTAAATAAAAGAATATTTCCAAACTTAACTGAGGCACATAAAAGAACACTTGAATAAATAGAGAAACATATGTTAATTGGTAAAAAGAGTAAACATAGCAAATATGTTAGTATCACTTTGTCCATATTAATGTAAAAATTTAATGCAGTTCTAACAT